GAACTTAGTAAGAATAAAAGTATAACATATTAATGCAATTTATTAATGCTAAAGAAGGAAATGAGTTATTCTAATATTTATGTTGAAGACTATGAGTCCTAACATCAGTGAGACAATGAGTTTGTGATATAACCCTGTATTTCTACAATAAAATATTATACAGCAAAAGCAAGAACCAAGTACTGAGTCTTACAAGTATTTAAATTATGCTACTTAAAAAAAAACAGTTGCATGCACTACATTCCCATTTATGTGACAATTCTGTAAGACAAACATATTCTAGAGATAGAAAACTGAGCCATGACTAGTTGACTACAGAATTTATTCAGGAGCAATGCACAGAGACCATTTTAGGATGATAAAGTTTTTTTTTTTGATATGGCTATAAGAAACTTACATAGTTGCTGTAGCTCAGAAAATTCATAAAAAGAATTCTTTTGTTCTACAGAACTTGCATTTCAATGAAGTTTCTTTTAAGTAATGTGTATGCATTTGTTTGATCCTTATGATTTTCTGAGAGGTCTGGGAAATAGTATATACTTGTTCATTTGTATACATATATGGTATAATAAAAACATGGTATAATAAAACAGTATATAGGGCTGGAGAGATGGCTCAGCGGTTAAGAGCATTGCCCGCTCTTCCAAAGGTCCTGAGTTCAATTCCCAGCAACCACATGGTGGCTCACAACCATCTGTAATGAGGTCTGGTGCCCTCTTCTGGCCTTCAGGCATACACACAGAAAGAATATTGTATACATAATAAATAAATAAATAAATATTTCTAAAAAAAACAAAAAATAAAACAGCATATATAAACAGTATATATGGGTGTTTATTTGCATACACATATGGTGTAATAAAACAGTATATATAAACAGTATGTATAGGTGTTCATTTATATACACATAAGGTATAATAAAAATATATGGTATAATAAAACCGTATATATAAACATTATATATAGGTGTTCATTCATATACACATAGGGTATAATAAAAACATAACACTAGGAGAGTAACCAATGGTCAAGTTCTAAATTGATGAACTTAGTGAGGAAAAAAATACCATTTTAGCAGTAAAGATTTATACAACTTTTCATTTATAGAGGGGAAATTAACTTAAAATTTCTAGAGTACAAAAAAGAGCGTAGATACAATCCACTATAATATTCCGATTTCACACTTGTTTTCTTATCGTAACCTCCTCAGGTTACGTTCATTTTGGAAAATCAGGTTATTGCTTCATAAAATATGCAATAAATCAAACTAGATATGAGCTCACAATCTAGACAGTTTGATTAAAGTCTATTCTTTTGTTAGGTCATTTCCTCGTGTAACACTTTAGAGAAACTTCTTCAAACTGTTAACCTTTCCTGAATATAAGGTTCGTCTGGCCTGATAAGAAGATAGTATATAGTACAAAGTACTAAGTCTCTGACTCTCTGTCTCTCTGTCTCTGTCTCTCTCTCTCTCTCTGTCTCTCTGTCTCTGTCTCTCTCTCTCTCTCTCTCTCTCTCTCTCATTGTTTTCTGAACTTGCCACTTTTCCTTGCCAAGTTACCTATGACAATTTGATGACACCTCCCATGGCCTCCAGCAGCCTCAAATGAGAAATGTGGACAGCACAAATTGTGAACTATTAGTGGATTTATGATGAATGGTGAAGAACCACCATGCTACTAGAAAAGCTCCCCCTAAGTGTGGAGATAACTCCCTTATAAATTGCTCCTGTGGTTTTGGCAGCATTCAGCCATGCATGTCCTACGGAAGGAGTTTGGTTCTATGAATGTAAACTTTCTTGTGGCAATTAGGAAAGAGAAAACCAAATATCACGAGCAAGTCATCTAATGGAGAATATGATGGGACCTAAACAAGTGCTTGCAATTTTCTCAAGCTCAAACTGGAAGTGTAAGGCAAGATCAGAAAACCAATGAACAAGTCCCAGCCAGGAACTGAGACACTCTTCTGAGGTACCCTATGAACTGTGGTGCTGATTTTTCTTGTGAGAAATGCGGCACATGGCTGAGAAGCTTTGCCTAAATGGCAGAGGGCCAGAGAGAAACAGCCAGCACGTGGACTCGAGATGTGTGCGTGACACCTTGGGTCCATCATCTGTTTATTGTACTTATTATGGCACACCTACTATTTCAGAAGAAACGCCTTCATTTCTCTCTAATTAGTGGTGGCGCATGCCTTTAATCCCAGCATTCAGGAGGCAGAGGCGGGCAGATCTCTGTGAGTTCAAGGCCAGCCTGGTCTACAAGAGCTAGTTCCAGGACAGGAACCAAAAGCTACAGAGAAACCCTGTCTCAAAAAAAAAAAAAATACAGTGTTGTAGGGGGCATGGAGTTGATAGAAAACATGTAGGAAGATAATGATCTGATAAGTTTGGAGGTGAAGATAGGTATGTGAAGAACTTTCTCCAGACTGTAAAGAGCAAGTTGAAGGGGATAATGTAAGCCCCAGCCCAGGGAGAACCCTCCTTAAACACCCGATCTGGCAGCCACCCAATGTCTGTCTCATCACTGCTCAACTCCTCTAGGTCAAGGAGGCAGGCACATCTTTCCCGACCCCATGAAATCCTTGCCACTTCACACAGCCTTGTCCATCTCATTATCATTAATCCCAATGTCATCTCTTGTTCCTTCTTCTAAAGAAAGCTGTGCTTTTCTTCAAAACTTTTCAGATGCTACCTTGTGTGGGAGAACACAACTCGGTTTCTCTGTCCACTGCACAGCCACTCACGAGCACCTTCGTTTCATGATTCAACCCACTGAATGTCCATTTTCAATGTACAAATTAGGTAACTTTTCCTAAGCCTGTTTCTCCCAATAACTGTGAGCTATTTGAGGATAAAATGTGATGTTTACTTACTAACCATACAGCACATAGTCCGACCTTAACAGTTATCTGTTAGGAGGGAAAACAAAATGAGGTGAAGAGTATTTATTCAGAATAGAGATGCTGAGGGATGCCCTGGGGAAAGATTTGACATGGAGCTGGAGCTGAAAGAACTGACTTCCTAGCCCGCAATTGCTCGCTGTATTGTAAAGACGTACAGCACGGGAGTCATCCCATACCAACTGAGATCTAATTAAAGGCCCTAGGAGAATGAGGAGGGAAGGTTAGCTTAGGAAGTAAGGCTTTAATTTGAAGTAGGGAAGTTAGGACTGAAGAGGAAGACAATCCCTCCCTCAAAAGCATTTTCATGCTGATGAGTAGCCAAGTAAGAAATGGTTCAGAGTCATTGCTGCCCTGTAGACCAGGGAGAAAGCATCCCTCAGCCAAACCAGTGGGCAGAACAAACTAAAATTCAGGCAAAGATAGACCCAGGGTGAGAGAACCTACACTGGACTGGTTTCCTCCTCGCTCCTCGCCACTCAGAATTTGGGGATAATTCAGAGGCCAAAACTCAAACCTTGACAGGGGCCATACATGTATGGTTATGGGGGGGGGGGGGGGAACTGGCTTGTGTAAAAGACAGGTGGAAGGTTGTGCCACATGTAGAACATGGGAGAGATGGCATCCTAGATCAAGGACTCTGACTACCAGTCAATGCTTGTCCTCCATTAATCTCCAAGCGGGACTGTAAGCCCACCAGGGCCAGACCCTTTAAATTTTTATGAAAAAATGTCCTGATTTTAATATGTAATTTCTAAATTTTGAAAGGTAAAATAATCCAATTCTTAAAATCACACTTGAGCTGGTCCTGTTTAGGCCAAACAATACACGCCTGGAACCTAAATGTGCCTTCTGGGGTGTTGCTCTGTAAGGAGCGATGATTGGGTAAAAGAGATGGGTACCAAGGTTCAAAAGAGAGATTGTTCCCTATTCGGAGCTTTAGCTCAGTCTCATTGTTACTGGCATTGGGCATAGCTCAGATGCCCTTTTGGTCTTGTCCACTTAAAATAGACTCTCTGAGGATCTGATCTTTTAAAACAGAGACTTGGTGCCTCAGGCTGGGAGTCCAGCTAACGGTTGTTTTCCATGGTAAGACAGTCAGCTAAAAGTACACAAACATTAACGTCTGGTGCATTCAGTCGGTGTCCAGAGAAGAACCCTGTCATAGACTGGCCACAGGAGGCTTTAGAGAGTGGGAATGACTCTGGGCTAGAATTTCACTGGATAATTCTCCCTCTTAGGTGTGTATTTAGATAAAGTTTTCACGGGCAGCCTCACAAGTCTCACAAGTTTCCACGGGTGGCTTTAAATTGAAATATTCTGATTGCTAATTTTACTTATTTACTTATTTGTTTGTTTGTTTTTATTCATGAGGCAAGGTCTTGATATACAGCCCAAACTGGCTTCACACCACCATCCCCTGAGATGCCAGTGTGCACCACGGCTCCTAATCTGCAAGTCCTTTTTGAAAACTAATGCTTTTATGTGAGCCTCAGAAGCTCATAGTCAAAATGTTTTAAAATCAATTTTAACTTATTTTTCATTCATATAATACAAAAGGAGAGAGAGCTACTTTTACTGATTTACTGAAGAATCAGTCTGAGGCTTTCCACAACAGAGAGAGAAGTTGATCTCACTGTAGACAGTTATCGCAGGCTTCAAGGGCTCTGCCCAGAAGGTTTTGCTACCTTCTAGAACACTGTCAAGAAAGAAGTAAAAACATATTTCAGAGCAGCTCGGGCATGGGAGTTTCTGCAGAACTTAGAGCACCATTATGTACAAGATCAGCTTTTCTTGATCTTTTACCTGTGATCAGTCTTCCACACTGCACACTATCAGCCACATGTTTAAGAGCACATTCTTCAATGGATTACGAATCAGTCAGATCTGACGGGCAGTTGGGAATTCATGTGCAGTGTGTGTGTGTGTGTGTGTGTGTGTGTGTGAGAGAGAGAGAGAGAGAGAGAGCTCTCATTAAGGGACGATCTATGATTTGACAGCCTCACTGCTACGCCTGCTGCTGCCTCTGTTACTGCGGCTGTAGGATCTCTCATGAGTTGAAAAGGGATGTGAGGCGTTGAAGGAACTGCCGCTCCAAAGACTGAGCCTCTGCTAAGTGATCTCCCTGCCAGACAGACTAGACACGATTTTCTGCAGGACTGGAAACTTGGACCTATTTCTCTTCGTCTGCCCTGAGAAGCAGGCAGCGAGACAGAGTGAAAAGGTAAGAGAAGAACTGTCTTCTATTGAGGCAGGGGGTTGGGGAAATGGGGAACTTATGTGCAAAGGTTTGCTATTTTATTAATGATGTTTTACTCCTGAGAGCCAGAGGCAGTAGCTAAATTCCTACCAGGCTTGACCACTGAGGCTTTTGGCTTTTCCACTGGTACCTTTTCCTTCTTCACTGTACTTTTTCCGAGCATCTGAGGGGTTTCTTTGTATTTATTTTGCAGCTAGCACATTTTCTTTTTAAGTTTGGAATTGTTTGTTTGTTGTTTTTTGTTCTCCCAAGTGGACCCGGTTTCAAAAGAGGAGTCTTTTCTGCCTCTCTTGTCTTCAGCATTTTTCTCTGTGAAGAGAGACTTACCTCGTCCTCTTAGCATGATGTGGTCAAAACAATTGCTACATTCTGCCTAGAATTGCAAAATAAGGAGTTTCCAGAAGTGCATAGGAGCCCCGTTACTGTAGAAACTCAGGTGTAAAGAGAGGAAATGAGTCGCCTGTGATTGTGCCTTGCTTGGCGGTCATGGCATTGTGAGTGAACATGTGTGTGACTTTTCCCAGGGGGAAGAAGTATTTCAATAAAGGTGAAGCATAGAGAGATGTTCTAAAGAGTCTGTGTGAGAGAGAAACTTCAAGCCACAGAAGATGGAGAATGAAACAGTCAGTGAACTGAACCAAACCGAGCTTCAGCCCCAGGCAGTGGTGGCGCTCGAGTACCAGGTGGTCACTATCTTACTTGTGCTCATTATTTGCGGACTGGGCATCGTGGGCAACATCATGGTCGTCCTGGTGGTCATGAGAACCAAGCACATGAGAACCCCTACCAATTGCTACCTGGTGAGTCTGGCTGTGGCTGATCTCATGGTCCTGATAGCTGCAGGCCTCCCCAACATAACCGACAGCATCTACGGTTCCTGGGTCTATGGCTATGCTGGTTGCCTCTGCATTACCTATCTCCAGTATTTAGGGATTAACGCATCCTCATGTTCCATAACCGCCTTTACCATTGAGAGGTACATAGCAATCTGCCATCCCATCAAAGCCCAGTTTCTCTGCACATTTTCCAGAGCCAAAAAGATCATTATATTTGTCTGGGCCTTCACATCCATTTATTGCATGCTCTGGTTCTTCCTGCTGGATCTCAATATTAGCACCTACAAAGGTGCCATTGTGGTATCCTGTGGCTACAAGATCTCCAGGAACTACTACTCGCCTATTTACCTAATGGACTTCGGTGTCTTTTACGTGGTACCAATGATCCTGGCCACTGTGCTCTATGGATTTATAGCCAGAATCCTTTTCTTAAACCCCATTCCTTCCGACCCTAAAGAGAACTCTAAAATGTGGAAAAATGAGTCAACCCATCAGAACAAGAATTTGAATGTAAATGCCGCCAACAGATGTTTCAACAGCACTGTGTCTTCCAGGAAGCAGGTAAGCAAAGCTGAACGTGCAAGTGAGGAGGGGAAGTGTGGAATAGAGATTAGGAAAAATGAGATCAACTTTGTCCTACTTAGCTGACGGCAAAACCAAAACACAATCATGCAAATGTTTCCCAGTATAAGCTTCTGCTTTGCATGTTAAACACACCTCTGGATCCACTGGAGATCTAAAAATAAATGGAGGGATTTGCTAGCCCTGTAGCAGGAAGCAGTTCCCTGTTAGGATGAAGGGGATTGTAAACAGAACCCCAGGAGTCTTGGCTTAAAACTCTTGTGTCTCTCAGAAAATGTTAACTGAACATTGAGAAATCTTCCGGCCTCTGTAGGGTAAAATTCTATTGCATGAAGAAGAAAGGTAATTTCAGGAATTTGACGACACAGTTATCAGGAGACTTTGAGAATATATCAGTGATTCAAAATAAGGAAACTTTTTTTGCAGTGTGCAGTTTCTCATAACTAATCCCACAAAAAAAGAACCCCCAAAACAGGTAACCAGCCTTATTCGGTTGGTCTTAATGGAAGATGATTCTCTAATCCTTTTCTCTTGCTCTCTCCAAGTTACCCTAGCATGCAGAAACTGGAAATACATTTTCCACAGGGGGAAAAAAATAATTCAAAAGGATGATCAACATCAAGCTGAATCAGTTAAAAACAATTTTTTAATGTAGGTTTCTAGCTTAGTAACTGGAACTCTTTTATGCGTTCAGGTAAGCCAAGTGCACATATAGCTGCTGTGGAATGATGGTTTTATTAGTGAGTAAAGCACCTCATTCATCAGATAATGTAAAAATAGGAGGCTCTGTGACATATACTCATCTGTTTGTGTCGGCACAAGGGTCCTAAGATACACATGAGCCCAGCTCTCAATTCTTCCTGCTTCTCTCTTGCATGTAATAAATAGGTAGTAGATATTTATTCTCATAATGAAAAGAGAAACCATGCAATCAACAATACCAGTTCTTTCAAATCATCTGAATTTTCTTTTTATTTCCTTCAGGGAAAACAGTTAATTGCATTTATATGGGTAAAAAACAGTGTGCTCTTAAAAGCCTGTATGTGGATCAGGCATACTGTTACCTCTTAATCTCTAGGCTACCTAGTACATTATGAACTTTGACTGGATAAATAAACACACATGTATACATGCACACAACAGGGCAAACTCATAAAAGTGGAGATGTTGGCAATAAAAGGTGGGATGTAGCTGAAAAGAATGCATGCAGCATTTTGAATGATGCGTGACACTCAATTCACGTGGCATTTATTATGAAGACAGAGGGAGCACGTGAGTAACGACTACCAAGTCTTTGCTTCCATGGCTAGACAGCAATGCTACTTAATGCAAGGTGTAGCTGGACATTACTCAAAGCTTGATTCATGGAGATGGAGAGAGAAACATTGGCCACCTGCCAAGACAAATATTAACAATGCAGTAAGACAATCAAGAATATGCACATATTAGCTGGAAACCAAACATTAGTTAGTATCAGCAGCAAGGGTATATTGTTCCTTATACCCACGTTTACATTATATATATATATATATATATATATATATATATATATATATATATATATGGTATTTATAGCTTGTTTGTCTGGTCTAATGTCCATTCTTTTGATTACAGTCATTAGCACCTATCAGCATTTATAATGTACTTTAGATTGCTAGTTAAGTTACATGCTCACAATACTTTCAAAGGATGTTAGTGGTGAGCATGTGAGAGCCGTGTAGAGTGTGTAGAGATGAGAAGCTCCCAGCTCTGGATAAGGACGATTGGAAGGCTGAGAGATGGGTGGCAATATGTTTGCAGGAGTAAGATCCTCCTTATCAGACAAAGGTTCTCAACCTGCCTAAGCTGTGGCCCTTCGTTGTGGTTTGTCATATTGTGGAGGTCTCCAACCATAAAATTATTTTCACTGCTACTTCATATCTGTAATTTTGCTACTGCTGTGAATCATAATGTAAATATCTTTGTTTTCTGATGGTCTTAGGCTACCTCTGTGAAAAGGTCATTTGACCCTGATGGCGTCAGGACCCTCAGATTGAAAACCGTGAGCATATAAGACCTAAGGGATGAGAAAGGGGCCATTCAATATGTAGCAGGCTCACACTTACTCCCAAAATAATGAAATTATTCTTAAATAGAATACAAGAAGTAAAAGCAATCATGCCTTAATCAGTTTTTCTAAGCCCCAGTTTTCTCATCAATAAAATGGGTGCTTCTACTTGTATGGTTGTTGATGAAACCAAATGAGATGCATTCTCGACCGCAAGGAGCGGCCCCGGAAAGTGGAATCATGGCTGTGAATGGGGCCAATGTGTTCTAAACTTAGAGACCTATATTCTAGCCTTGCCCTTTTCTAAAAAAGTCTTAATTCTTCATAAGGTTCAAATCTGCATGTCCTATAACCTAAGGACTTTTATTTTAATATTTCTCTCTGATTTTTTTTCTTTTAGGCAAGTGTAATTTACATTTTAATAAATACTTATCTGGGCCAGCATCTTCTTACTGAGTTACTAAAATCAAATGCACATAGCTTAGAGGGCTACTTTTTTTTTTAAAGAAAATAAAAGAAAGATTGTTTTTATGCAAAAGACAAATATGATGCTTTCTTTGCCTGCTCATTTTTCACTCATATCGCCAATGTAAAAACATCTAGATCAAAAACTTTTCTCTATTACTCAAAGACTTGATTATATTGTGGTACACTACCTGAGTTGAGATAAATTAAATTCAGCTGCACTCAGTGGCTAGACGCTCTGTGAAGGAATTGCTTGATTGAAGTCTTTTGTTTACCAGTTGGGTGGTTGGACTCTAAAGGACAGGGTTGAAGTGGTGGTTTTCGCTACCCTTTAGCTCTACTACACAAGCCATAGGCTGCAGTGCATTCGGCTCCTATGTTCAGCATTAGGAAGAGAAGCCATCTCTATCATTGACTGTATTTCTGCATACGTTATTGAATTTTAAATTTGGAAATACAGGGGCCCTTTGTGGTAAAACTCTGTACTATCAATAAATACATTAATTTTAAATATTTACTTTTCATGGGCCACAGGGATATGTAAGGTATTTTACAAACTAGGCTTCTGGTTTTGTTTCCAGGGGAACCATTTAGCAATTTCTCTTGTCTTACAGGATAAGGAATAAGAAAATAGTGTGACCTAATCCCAATAGAAGCTTCTAGAGATATTGTCAATTTTTGTAGGTTTATCTATTTAATTCAGTCTTCAAATTACCAGCCTTTCCTCCTATGAAGTGCTTACTAAAGAAAACGGTTGGAAGTCCAAGAAACAAAACAAAACAGCTTCCCTTTTTAAAGCGACATGTGCCATTTGGGGATGACACTGAAGATGGTGGTGGTGTTTATAATGTTGCAAATGGTGTCATCCATCCCTGCTTTTCAGGAATTAAATCTTCCTTCAACTCCTCCCCCATATGTTCTGACGCAGTGCTAGCCATTCTGTGCATTCATGGAAATAAAGGTTGTAATGTGCCTGCCCTCCTCTCCTCCTACCTTTCTCTAGTCTTTCTCTAACGTTACCCACCTCTTGTGTGTGTGTGTGTGTGTGTGTGTGTGTGTGTGTGTGTGTGTGTGCATGCATGCACTCATGTACATGTCTGCAGTGGTATATAAATATATACATACTCATGTGTGTGGAAGCCAAAGATAGCAAGGGGTATCTTCTCTGGTTGTCCTTTGCTCTACTCTTTAGACAAGTTCTCTTACTAATAGAACTCATGGATTTGTCAAGACCTGGGCTTACTGACACGAGCAACAGCACACACGGGTGCTGAGGATGGGAACTCCAGTTCTCGGATTTGTGCAGCAAACTCTTTACCAACTGAGTCATCTTTCTAGCTCACCATGAGCTCGATACAGAAACCAGAGAGACATCAGTAGCCATAGCCATGCTAACAGGGAAGGTAGAAAGCTCACATGGCCTCAACTCTAGACAAAGAACTGCAGGCAACTATGGAGTACTGAAGGAAGGAGAAATAGTCTTCCCCAAGAAAGAGTACACTAGTAGGTTATCTAGTATCAAATGGACAGGGCTGAAAACATGTCAGGAACATCACACAGGTGGAGGCAGTTGTAGTTATATAATTAGGAATACATACAGATACATATGCACACACACACACATACACACACGTACACACACCACCAACAATAACAACAATTAAAGAAAAGGAGACCTTGAAGGAGAGCAAGGTGAAGACACATGGGAAGAGTTGGAGGTTGGAGGGCAGAAAGGGAAACTATGTAATTATAATCTCAAAATATTAAAAATAATGTATTTAAAAGAAAGAATCTTGCACAAAGCACAAAGAAAATTAATCATGGTGATGATTCAACCCTGTGATGTCTGCACTTCAAAGGTTAGGCAAGAAGACTAGAAGTTCAAGGCCAGTTAGTAGAATCACTGAGCAGTTTAATGACCACAGCAGACTCTAATTAAACAAACACAAAGGAAAGAAGAGAAGGCACAGTCCTGGAATGCCCTGGCCATAAGATGTGGGAGCACAAAGTCTTGTAAGCTGCATGACTCAGCAGTCTGCAACTGCACGCACCTCTTGAAGAACAACTCTCCTTTCTGCTTCAGAACCCAGCTCAACATAATCTAATCTCCTGTCTCACCCAGGACCTTAGCCAGTGAGGGTCAGGCATGAGAACAGTCAGCTTTTTAGCACTAAGCCTTCACTGCACTAAGTTGGAAGTGCAGGTCTTTAATGCCAGCACACACGAGTCAGAGATAGGTGTATCTCTGAGTTCAAGGCCAGCTGGTTTACAAAGGAAGTTCCAGGGCAGCCAGTACAGTTATGTAGAAAACCTGGTCTCAAAAAAACTTTCCCAAGTTTACTAGGGCTGTTTACACTGGCTTGTTTTTCATGATTTATTTCTTCCCATCACGTGGACTCAGCTCTGTTCATACTAGTGCAAAAAAAAAAAATCTAAGTTACAAAAAATAAGTAATTTACCCCTTACC